ACTTTTGTATTTTTTTAAATTAATAAACATTTGTGAAAAATCGTTTATTTTCATCAAAACACAATATTAAATAACATAAATTGTAAAAATAATAAACCGTCACACTCTGTCAGCATATAGAGTTAGCTTATATGAATGATGAGATGTAGATCAACTTATCGGTCGTACGGCGTAGGGGTTAATTATCGGTCTAGTAAGCGCGTGGCTCGGGTTCGAATCTCGGTTAGGGCAAATGCAATTTTCACTTTCTTATCATAATTAATAAAAGTTAGGTCTAAATAAAGAGTCAAAGGGACTAAACTTGCGTTAGTCTTACATAGAAATTAAATTACAAAAATATTACAAATAAAAAATTTCTTTTTATCACTTTTTATCAAATGGTATGGGCCAGACTTGAATAGTAACTGTGGCCCAGTTCTGGTAACCAGGCATGGGTCAGACTCGAAAATCGGTATTGACCCAATACTAAAATTCAGTTTTGGCACAATACTTATTTTCAGTCTTGGCACAATACTTATTTTCAGTCTTGGCACAATACTTATTTTCAGTCTTGGCACAATACTTATTTTCAGTCTTGGCACAATACTTATTTTCAGTCTTGACACAGTACTGATATTCAGTCTTGGTAGGAAGTTATCATTTGTATGCTTAGACGGACTTGGGCCAAGCTTGGATTTCAAGCTTGCCCCAGAGTTAATGAGCATTGCGCCAAGCCTTGGCCAATCTCGGGCTGATTGTTCTTTTCTCTAAGGGTTACTGCCCTTGGTGTGTAATGTACTATTCATGTAATCAAATTTCATTACTTAGATCATTTGAGAAGTATTGCTAATAACATTTTTGTTTCTTTTGCAGCAAGACTGTCCTAATGGTAGGTTAACTCCTGCTAAATTTGTCGATATGTACAAAATGTTTTTTCCTTCTGGTAACGCTGAAGAATTTTGCGATCATGTATTTCGGACATTTGACATGGACAAAAATGGTTACATCGATTTCAAGGTTAGTATAAAATCGACAAGAACCAGTCTTAATATCTACTAAAAATTTAACTTTTGTTTAAAAGTGTTTGAAAAATAATCGTACCGAATTTTTTAAATACATTAGAAAAATTCTATGTCTGCTAAAAATATTGAGGTTGAATTTCAATTTAACTGCAAATGTGCGATAGATCTTGTTATCAACAATATTTTGGAAGAACTAATTAATTTTAAGTTTTATAACAATTCAACCGATGACATTTCACCCGCGACACTTGAATCGCGACAGTTCAACTGCAGACATTTCAACCGGATAAGAGTTCAATTTTATCGTGTTGGGCCTTTTTATCATGGTTTTTGTGTGTGTTTATTCGACAGTAGACCAACACATAAGCTTGTTACCATGTTATGCCCTTTTATTATGGATTTTGTGTGTGTTTATTGGACACTCGGATTAATTGTCGTGAAAATAAACTGTTAGGTATGTAATTAAACTATTCTTGACCCTAATAAATATAGATTACACAATTAAATAATTAATTTAAAGATTTTTAATCTGCCCTCAGACAGCCAATCAGATTAAAATTTTTACGGTTGAACTCTGATCCGGTTGAAATTTCTGCAGTTGATCTGTTACGGTTCAAAAGTCGCGGTTGAAATATCGTCGGTTAACTAATCGTGGCAAGATTGAGACCATGGGATCTTAAAAAGCTATTATGATCATTTTTAACTGTGTATTAATGTGTTGTTCGAGAATACTTATAAGAACCTTTTTAACTAATAGTTATTACAGTGCAATAGTCACCTGAGTTTCATCTAATTTTTTTTAAATTGAAAAAAGAAGTGGCTAGTGATGCGTTGAAAAATTCTAACAAATTGTCGCTGTGCGGGCATAAGAGATTTACATTAATGCAAGAATAGATGTAAGGATCGTATATTCACGAGAATTTACTTAATTTTTTGTGAAAAGTGGTATTAAAATTAGTTTTCATTTTTTCGTACCTCAAGTTATGTAAACTACAACATGAAAAATATCAAATAATTATTTAGCCAAAGTTTTTTTAAGTATTACTTAGAATTTTTGGTAGTCGGATACGCTAGTCACAATAATTAAAAAATATTTAAAAAATTTCATACATTTAGAAAATTTTCAATGGACTAGAATTCGGAAAAAAACAATCTTATCGAAAATTGGAAAATGCAAATCACAGCTTGAAGAATCTAATTTTTAGATCTGGACTTGATAACTTTTTATCATGCACGGTTCTGAAGTAATTCTAATAAAACCACTGAATTTTCTTCAAATTTTCACTTGTATTAAAAACAGTCTACGAACTTCAATAAATTTTTAACTTCCCACACGGAAAAAAAATGTGGAACTATTAAACTCAGTCTGAGTATTTAGTACAGTTTCAGATACCAGAAAAATTTTGTTACTATGGAACTGTAAAAATTATATTATTTTCCAGGTATAGTAAATAATACAGTTTTTAACAATACGTCTCACAATTTTAAAAACTAAGTAATTATTTTTTATTTTCAGAATTACAGGAATTTATAATTAAACATTAATTCGAATTATGTTTTCTTAAAAATTAAATGACCATTATGAGAAGTGCACTTATAAATTTTCCAAACTTGTAAAACATTTCGATAAAAAGGTTTTTACTAGATAAGTCTCTAATTTTTCCTTAGATTAATTATATTAATTTATCTATGTTTTGTACTCAGCAAACTGCGTTATATGCCTTAAGCTGAATGAAAATCGGTTGTTTTATTTAAAAGATATTGATCTTATATCTTATAAACCCACATTTCAGAAAATGCATTTCTTTATAAAAACTTGAGTTTTTGAGCTTTTTAATCTTTTAGAACTTGATTGTAACGGAAAGGTTAAGGGATGGCTTGCAAGCTCAACCACTTTTCCGATTTTTTCCCAGAGTAGACGGACGATTCTTTTTTTTTTATTTTTTTTTTATTTTCCGCTAAGAAAATCGGGAAGTTAAACCCAATAATTACTGGTTTTACTCCGTTTTGCAAAAATCGAATTCTCATCAATCGAAGGATTCCCAACTATATAGTCACTCATGACGAAATCTCGGGAACTATAGAACTTAGAAACGTGAAACTTGGTAGAAATATTACTTTTGCTATGTAGAGGTAAGCTAAGAACGTATTTGAAGAAATTCTTCCCCCAAAGGGTATTGCGGGGGTGTTAAAAATCAAAAATTCCCGTTTTTAAAGTATAGCTTCTATAGACTCTGAATTTAGTAGAAATCTTCTGTAAGAAATGTAGAAATAGTCTATGAACGAATTTTACGATAGCTTACCCCACAGGGGGGTGCGGGGTGGGTATCAACACTGAAAATTTTTAATTTTCAAGCCATAGCTCCTACAGACTCCAAATTTAGCTAGAGTCTTCTATATGGATACTGTTATGCATTAATGTGGTATGGAAATCCTATGTACTTAACACACTATTGCATAGCACAGTCCATATGTGATGCAGAAATGACCTAAGAGCGGATTTTGCAATGACTTCCGCCCATAAGGATTGCGGGGATGGGTGTTAAAATGTTAAATTTCCATTTCCAAACTGTAACCTTTACAGACTCGAAATTTTGTAGGAATCTTTTATTTAAAATGTAGAAATCATCTCGAATAGGATCTTACGAAATTCCTCCCCCACATAGTAGTGCGGGGGTGTTAATTATTAATAAATGCATATTCTTCAAATACAGTTCTTACAGATATAAAATTTGAAAGAATCTCAAGAGAAACAGGAAATCACAAAGATGGCAGAGTTAATGTAACAGATTAAAATAAGTGCATTTTTCAAGCACTTGAGATTTGGGAAAGAAATTTAGCGCCACTCCGTGGTTCTCCCTCCTCCGCGGTACCGCGGGACTTCTCCCACTACTCGTGTTTGCCGTTGCTGACTGTGTGGGGACTGTATCAGCCATCCCATTGGTCCTCGCAAGCTCCGACTCTTTCTTGGGTTTTGACTGGTCCTCGCAAGCTCCGATTATTCTCGCGAGCTCCGATTTATTTTCCTGGTTGCTTCAAACACTTAAACTACTAAATTTTAAACTTTTCACTTATATTTTAACGTTTCTGTTACAATGTGATTCAAATTTTTTGACAAACAATTTTTTTTTCGTTCGTAAAAAATAAATTTTCTTCTTTAATAACAAGTATCCTATGTTACTTTTAATACTTCCTAAAATGTGTGTACAAAGTTTCATGATGATCGGTTAAGTAGTTTTTTGCGTGAAAGCGTAACAAACAAACTTACATTCATATTTATAATATTAGTAGGGATTCAAATCCAATTTTATAATAAAATTACCAAATTCTCTTTGAATTATCTGGTCTCTTACATACAAAATCTCTAAATCTTCTACTCTTAATAACTGAAAAACACTTTGTATTTCTCTCAATTCTATTAACAAATAATTTTCAGATTCTGTAACTGGTATAATATGTTTTACTACTGCTTGCATATTTAGATTACTGATCATTTTATTATGTTCAACTTTCAATTCTTCAATTAAAAAATACAATTCATTTTCTATAGAAAATAAATAATATAAAAATTTACAATAGTCAAAATAAACAATCTATTAGGACTTCCGTTTGTGCGCGTAGTGAAGGTACATGGTCGATCAGAAAGTGTGAGACTTAATCGGAAAATACGCAAAAATTAAGGAGGTGTGATAGGTGTAGGAAGGTGTAAGGGATAGTGGTGGAAAAGGTGATCTTATTTTAGATAAAAGCTGGTGTAAGCGGGTGGGCAGGAAAAAGTAATTAGGATAAAAAAGCGGTTAAAAATTAAAGTGAGGTTAAGTTGAACTGAGGGTCAGGGGTGTAAAGAGTAAGGAGAGCGATTTAAATACGTGAGTCAAGATGAGTGGCGAGTCGGTGCAGAAGAACATAGAGGTGACAGGTTTGCTCGGACGGACATAGAGGGAGGCACGGGACGAGATAGAGGAGCTGTGGTCAAAGGCAGGGTTCCCTCAGCAATTGATGGAAACCGATGAGAAAGACAGTGAAATGAAAGAGAAGGCAAAGAAAGAAGGGGAAGCAGTGGAAGACGAAGAGAAAGAAGAGAGAAGAACGGAGGAAGAAGCAAAGATGGCGGTTGAGAAAGAAAAGAAGGGGGCAGAAGAAGGAGAAACGTCTGAGTTACCGAAGGGTAAAGGAAGAAAGACCACCGCAGAGGCGTGGAAACTGCACCGAGCAAACAGTACCGGGGATCTGAGTGACATAAGAGACTGGATGAAATGTGACGGAAAGAGGAGAGGCGGAGGGTTAGCGGATGCAAGAGAGAACAAAGTAAGGGTCATTTCTAAAGTAAGTGAAAGGAAGAAAGAAGGACTAGAAATAATGATTACCCAGGGTTTTAGTAAAATCATAGAAAGACTGGACGAGAAAAAGGAGGATAGAAGAAAGCAATTTAAAGAGCTCAAGACAGAGCTTAGTAAGATAGAAAGAAAGAATGCCGAGCTAGAGAAGAAGATAGAGAGAATAGAGGCGGAGAACACGGCAGAAAGGACGGCCAGTAATGTCAAATGGAAGGAGATGGAAGGGAAAATCGAGGAAAGTGAAAAAAAGATGGACAAAGAAATGGCGAACATAAAAGAGGAAATGCGAGAGATAAAAGAGAAGATGATAGCCGAAGTGGGAGAAGAAAATGGTGTTCGGGCCTCTACCTCTACCTATGTTCCAAGGACGGAGGAGGGAACAAGGATTGCAGAAATTGAAGCATGGAAAGAAAGCAAGGAGAAGATGGAGAGGAGGAATAACCTGGTTATTTTTGGATGGAATAATAAAGGAAAGGCAGAGAGGAAAGAGGTAGCGGAATTCTTCCGAGATGAGCTGGGGATGGAGAGCATTGAAGAAAGTATAGAGGAGGTTAGGCAGCCAGGCCCAGATAAGAAAATGCTGTGGGTTAAAATGAGAAGGCCAGAGGATAAGAAGAAGATCATGGAAAGAAAAGCAAAGCTGAAAGGCAAGAAAATTTTCATTGAAAATGACAGAACGAAGAAAGAGAGGGAAGAGCAGAAAGGACTGAAAAGAAGAGCCTGGGTAGCGAAAAACGTAAAAGTGGGGTTTGGAAGGATGTGGGTGGAAGGTGTTGCGTACAGGTGGGACGGGGTAAGAAAAGTGTTAGTGAAAGTGGAGGAGAGCGAAGGGGAAGGAGCATAAAACTAAATAAGACAAGGGGGAAGGGGGGGGGGGATTAGACTAATATTTTGGAATGTGGCAGGGATTAGAAATAAGGATAAAGAATTTTGGGAATTCCTGGAACGGTTTGATGTGATTAGGTTGACGGAAACATGGGTAGAAGAGAAAGACTGGGATGTAATGAAGAACAGACTACCACCAGAGTGGAGCTGGGAACACATACCAGCAGAAAGAGTAGAGAAAAAAAGCAGAGCCAGAGGTGGAATTATCTCAGGCGTGAGGAAGGAAATAGAAGGATAATTCTCCGAGAAGAGAAAAGGTATAATAAGAAGAAAGATAGTAGTGGGAGATAAAACCTAGGATATTTTCACCATTTATAATGAAAGGGGAGGAAGAAAGCTGCTAGGTGGATGAGTGGTTAGCTGAAGAAGAAGAAGAAAGTGAGTTGATAATAGGTGGGGACTGGAACGTGAGGATAGGAAGGGAAGCTAGCGTGGAAGAAATTAACAATAGGGAGAAAAGGTGGTCGGAAGATACAGTAGTGAACAGAGAGAGAATGTTGATGCTAAATCTAATCAATAAGATCTAATCAATAAAAGGGGTTGGATTGTATTAAATGGGAACAAAGGTGTGAAAGAAGAAGGGAGATGGACATTTGCAAGAGGAGATTGTAGGACAGTCGTGGATTATGGGGTGACGAATGCGAAAACATGGAATGAAATAAAAAGTATAGAGATAGGATATAGGCTAGACTCAGACCACCAACCGGTTTTGGTAGAACTGGAAGGAACAAGAGAAAGTATCAACAAGAGAAAACAGAAAAGAAGAGAAGAAACTAAATGGGTACAGAGCTGGAAAGAGGAAGACGTATATAAGTTTGAGAAGGGGGAAGAAGAAACAGTATGGAAGGAAACAGAAGGAGAAGATAAATGGAAAGAGTTGAAAAGAAGAGTTGATGAATGCTGTGTGAAAAGAAAGGTGAGAGTAGGGGAAAAAGGCAAAGAAGGCTGGTATGACGAACAATGTAGAAAGCTTAAAAAGAAGCTGCAGAAAGGTGGACGAAAGAAAAGATACGCCGTCACTATGCGCAAATTGAGAACGAAATACAGAGACCTCAAGAAAAGAAAAAGGATTAGATGGGAGGAGAAAATGGAGAAAGAGTTGAAGGAGATCAAGACTGAAAGTGATGCATGGGAATTTATTAGAAAAGATATGAGAATACGAAGCGAAATAACAAATGCATTCAGGATAGAGTGGAAGGAGCACTTTGCGAAGGAACTAGGGGGACAAGACATAAAACGAGATGAACGGAGAGAAACATACAGCACATACAGGAGAGAGCATTTTCGAGAGGGAACCATCAGATAGAGAAATTGATGAGAATATAGTGAAGTTAAAGAAGAAAAAAGCAGAAGGCGGCGACGAGATAAAAAATGAAGCTTGGATATTTGGGAGGGGAAAATTCAGGACAAGGTTGAGAGAGGTGATAAAGGAGGTTTGGAGGGGCGAGTACTTTATAGAAGATTGGAGAGAAGGAATAATAACACCGATCCATAAGAAAGGAAACAAGGACTGCATGAAGAATTACCGAGGGATTACGCTAACCAGCACAGCATATAAGATATACGCCTCGATCCTTAATGAAAGGATAATACAGTCGGTAGAAGAAAAGGAAGGATGGGGAGATAGTCAAGCAGAGTTTAGAAAAGAGAGAGGGTGTATGGACAATGTATATATATTAAGGCAGATGATAGATAGGGTGATAAAGGAAAAAGGGAAGAAAGCCTACGTTCTATTTCTGGATTTAAAGGGAACTTTTGATAATCTAGACAGAGGGATACTGGTAAAAGCAATGGAAAGGATAGGAATTGAAAGTGGCTTAATTGAAAGAGTGAGGAAAATATACAGTCAAAACCGTTTATAGCGACTTCGCTTAAAGCGACCTGCCGGTTATTACGACGAAATTTTCAAGTCCCGTCTCTATTACATACAAAACACTCAAGCCAAAAACTGCTTATAACAGCATTGCTTATAGCGACAAATCGTTTATAGCAACTGAATTCACAGTACTCATAGTAGTAAACTCATAGCAAAATGCATCGGTTATAGCGTCTGACAAATACTTTCATTCATTTTGCAGTAAATATACTTATGATGTCATCAAATTCTTTTGCAGCTTTAAATTAATGAGGATCACAATTTTCATTTTAGTTAATGGTCTTACAAGTTGTACAAAACACTTTCGTTCTTTGTCATAATAATTCTTACACTTTCGTTTTTTGGCAAAATAATTCTTTGACAATGTCAAAAAGAAAACGGAAAGTCTTCGACATAAATGAAAAATCTCACATAATTTTTCCAAAATAATTATCCGGGTCAAAAAATTTAGTCTGTTTTATGATTAATAAAATTTTTTAATATTTTTCATTCAATTTAATTTTATTATGTGTATCTATTTTATATGAGAATTTAATCTGATTTTGCCCGTATTCACAATTCAGACCAATTTCAGATCATTTTTAATGTTATAATAAAATTGTTTTCTATTGTTTCAAAACCAAAATCAGACTTTTTTCGTCACAATCATTTAGCTGTCCTCGAAGATCCTCTACAGGGCACGGCTTTTCATTCTCTGAAACTGAAATAGTGACCATTCACTATTTCGTAGTGCAATGTATACCAAACGGTACTCTTCGCACTACCAAATAGTGGATACCGCTCATTGAATGATGCGTGAAAGTATAAAATTTAACATTAATCTTGTCAACATTTTAATTTTGTCTCTAGATTTAGATCCATAATTAAACGATGAGAACTATTTTATAAACGTATATTAATACAAATTTATTAGTTATCACTGCAACTAATATTCGCAGTTACAAAACTTTCATAATCCATGAAATGTTGAGCTATGACAAATAAATATGACAGATGTAAGGTTATAATCGACGTTCAGTTTATAGGGGGGGGGGGGGGGCAAAATGGGGTAGGGGTGGCAAAATGGGGTACCCCCAAAATTTCGTAAAAAAATTTTTTTTTCCAAAAAGCTTTTTTAGCTTTCTAAAATATATTTTAACGTCATTTCCTACAATTTCAGAGGAAAAAAAATTTTTTTTAAATGCAGTAAAAAAATTTTCGTCAAATTTAACACAAATATTTGTGTTACTGACTGTTTTTACACAAACTAATGTCAATTCTACATTCCAGTATGTTAAATCAACACATGAGAATGTAAAATTATACACACTAGAGTGTAATTTGCTACACAAAAATTTTTACACTTTACAAATTGACAAAAAATTTTTTACTATGCAGTAATTTTTATCG